ATTAATTTTATGTATTATTATTAGGAAATGAATTATCTAGGAAATGTATGTTAATGTATATCAAAATTTAATATCAGTATCTAATTATCTATATGAGTATGAGTATCACTATTGCTATCGGTATCAGTATCAGTTTTGTATCAGTATCAATATCATTATTAGTATATGTATCATTATCAGTATTAGTATCAGTATCAGTATCATTATCAATATTAACATCAATATCAGTATAAGTATCAGTATCAGTATCAATATCAGTATCAGTATCAGTATCAATATCATTATCAATATCAGTATCAATATCAATATCAATATATGTATTAGAATTAGTATTTGTATTAACCTTTATTAGTAATATTCGTATTAGTATTAGTATTTGTATTAACCATTACTATTAATTTTAGTATTAGTATTAATATTAGTATTAGTATTAGTATTTGTATTAGTATTAGTATTAGTATTTGTATTAGATTTAGTATTAGTATAAGTATTAAATTAATATTAGTATTGTACGTAACATTGTCTAGAGTTAAGAGTATATATAACGATTTTCATCAATTAAGAATCCGCTGAATTGTCCTTTGCTACTTGCAATATCGTGTACGAAGAAGTATTTCAAGAGATGTATTTCAGGGAATATGAAGATACATTTTAACAAACATCATTTATATATTATATGCATGCGCATGTTTTTCGTTGACTCATACGTGTACATTTAATATGCGTTCAGATTTATTTTTAGTAAATAATGTTTTTCGATGCGATATTCAATTATATCAATATTAATATTAGTATTAGTATTAGTATCATTATTAGTATTCGTATTCGTATTAGTATTCGTATCAGTATCAATATCAATATCAATATTAATAGTATCAGTATAAGTATTAGTATTAGTATTCGTATTTTTATTGGTATTGGTATTGGTATTGTTATTGGTATTAATATTGGTATTAGTATTAGTATTGTTGTAGTATTCGTATCGGTATTATCAGTATGGGTATGGTTATCGATATCGGTATGCGTATCGGTATGTGTATCGGTATCGGTATCAGTATCGGTATCAGTATTGGTATCAATATCAGTATGAGTATCAGTATCAATATCGGTATCGGTACCGGTAGCGATATCGGTATCGACATCGGTATCGATATGAGTATGAGTATCACTATTGCTATCGATATAGATATCAGTTTAGTACCAATATCAATATCATTATTAATATATGTATCATAATTAGTATTAGTATAAGTATCAATATCAATATCAGTATGAGTATGAGTATCAGTATCAATATCAATATCAGTATCAGTATCAGTATTAATATAAATATCAATATATCTTAGTATTAGTATTTGTATTAATCCTTATTAGTACTGTTAATATTATTATTAGTATTTGTATTAACCATTACTATTAATGTTAGTATTAGTATTAGTATTAGCATTAGTATTTGTATTAACCATTAGTATTATTGTTAATATAAGTATTAGTATTAGTATTAGTATTAGTATTAGTATTAGTATTAGTATTAGTATTAGTATTAGTATTAGTATTAGTATTAGTATTAGTATTAGTAATTGTATTAGATTTAATATTAGTATCAATATTAAATTAATATTAGTATTGTACGTAACATTGTCTTGAGTTAAGAGTATATTTTAAATAACAATTTTCATCAATTAAGAATCCGGTGAATTGTTTTATGCTACTTGCAATATTGTGTACAAAGAAGTATTTCAAGTGTTGTATTTCAGGGAATATGAAGATACACTTTAATAAACAACATTTATATATTATATGCATGCGCATATTTTTCGTTGACTCATACGTGTATATTCAATGTGCGTTCAGATTTATTTTCAGTGAATAGTATTTTTCAATGGGATATTCGGT